GAGTCCAAATGTCTATCAGTAGACGAATGGATAAAAGAGCAGTGGTACATATACACAATGGAGTACTATGCAGCTGTAGGAAAGAAAGATTTCTTATCCTCTGAGACGACATGGAGGGACCTGGAAAGTATTATCCTAAATGAAACAAGCCAAACAGAGAAAGGCACGTATTATATGATCTCACTTATTTGTGGAATATAATGAACTTAACAGTCTGAGGAATGGGGTAGTCCCAGAGATGTGGAAGTGGGATACAGACTGACTATCCCCAGAAGAGGGAGTGGTGGGGGAAAGACAAACCACAGAACTTATATGCATGTGTGCATGAACAAAGGACTTGTGAAAGAAAGCTGGCGACAGGGTGGGGAGGGAGGGAGAGAGGAGAATCAGTGGGGGAAAAGAAAGAAACATCTGTAACAAAAATAAATTAATTAAATAAATAAAAAAAATCTGTGGTACATATATACATGGAACACTATGTAGCTGTAAGAAGATCTCTTATCCTATAAGGAGACATGGAGGGACCTGAACAGTATTATGCTAAGCGAAATAAGCCAATCACAGAAAGACAAATACCACATGATTTCACTATTTTATGAAATATAATGAACAAAATATGCTGATGAACCAAACAGACCCAGATACAAAGAAAGGAGTATGGTTCAGACTGACCAAACTCAGAGGAGGGGGGCAGGCGGCAGGGAAGAGATAATCTAAATAACTTATGTGCATATATGCATAGTCAATGGACATAGACAACAATGCTGTTTGAGGGGGCGGGATTGGGAGGAGGGTGTCTGAGGGGAAAGGTGAAACATCTTTAACCAAAATAAATTATTTAATAAAAAATAAAGTGGAAACAAAATTAGCATATTAAATTATTGCAGTTTTATATATCACAAATAATTACTTAGAAAGTAACAAATTGTAATGCTAAAAAAAAGCAGTGGTACATTTACACTGTGAAATACTTCTTAGCCATAAAAAAGTAGGAAATCTTATCATTTGAGACAGCATGGATAGACCTGGGCATATTATGCTAACTTAAATAGTCAGTTAGAGAAAGACAAATACCATATGATTTCACTTATATGTGGAATCTAATGAATGAAATAAACTAACAACCCAAATAGAAACAGACTCACAGAAACAGAGAACAGACTGACAGCTGTCAAGGGCAAGAGGATAGGGGGGCTGGGTGAAAAAGGTGAAAAGATTAAGGGAAGTTTAAAACCTTATATACAAACAATAGTATGGTGATTACCAGAGGGAAAGGTTGACGTGGGTAAAGTGGAGACAAATGGTGATGGAAGGAGACTTAGAGTAGTGAACACACAATACCTTATACAGGTTATGTATTATAGAATGTACCTATGAAACCTATACAATTGTATTAACCGATGTCACCCCAATAAATTCATTAAATAAATAAAAATTAAATTAAAATAAAATAAAGAAAAGACAATCCTCAGTATGAGAGAAATACATTAGGCCCAGACTATATAAAGAACACCTACAGCTCACTAATAAAAATACAAATACTCCAATTTAAATATGAGCAAAGGATCTAAATACACATTTTTCTAAAGAAGATATACAAATGGCCAATAATCACATACAAAGCTGCTCACATATTTAGTCATCTGAGAAATGCAAATTAAAACCACAATGAGGTATCACTTCACACCCACTAGGATAGAACTAATCAAGGACACAGATAATAACAAGTACTGAAAAGGATATGCAGAAATTGGAGCCCTTATATACTGCTGGTGGGAATGCAAAATGTTACAGTTGGTTTGGGAAACATTCTGTCAACAGTTCAGAATAAAGTTTTATGTGATCCTGCAATTCCCCTTCTACTTATATACCCAAGAGAATTGAAAACATGTCCACACAAAAACTGATACACAAATGTTCATAAGAGCATTATTCATAATAGTAAAAAAGGATAAATAACCCAAGTTTCCATCAACTGGTAAATGAATAAATAAAATGTAGTATATCCATACAATGGAATATTATCTGGCAATAAAAAGGAATAAAGTACTGATTCATGCTACATATAGATAAACCTTAAAATATTGGGCTAAATAGAAGAAGCCAGACACAGAAAGCCACAGTTTTGTATTACTTCATTTATATGAAATGTTCAGAATAGGCGAATCCATAGAAACAGAAAGTATGTTGGTTTCTAGGGTGGAAGGGAAGGGAGTTGGGAGAAAGCAGGAGTGACTACTAAAGGGTACAGGGTTTCATTTTGGAAATGATGAAGTTGTTCTAAAATTGATTGTGATGATGCTTGCTTAACTGTAAATATACTAAAAACAATCAAATTAAACATTTTACGGTGGTAAATTGAATAGTATGTGAATTAAATTTTATTAAAGCTGTTATAATAAAAAGTGATTGATGTCCATTAGAAAGCCATGAGAAAATTTAGAAAAGCAGAAAGAGGAAAAAGAAACACCATTCACATTATTAAAAAAAATTTGTGTTTCCTAATTGTCCTCAGGATTAAGTAAAAAACCTTTGTCTTGATATATACGACCTCTCATAATTTGTTTTGTTTGCTTCTCCAATGTCATCTCCCATCATTCCCACATTGGCACCATATGTTTCAAACAAAACAAACTTTTTCTCCAAACAGTTCATGCTCTCTTGCAAGTTTGTGTACTTGAAGACATCAATCTCATTGCCTGTAACTGTTGATCCCTTCATTTTTCATTTGGTTAACTGTATTCATCAATCATGCCCAAGCCTACTGACATATTATATGCATGTGTGCATAAGTATATGCATGTATACATAAGTTAGAGTGGTAAAGATTCTGAAAGAAACAGTTTGTATGTCTGCACAATTTTTTTTGTAGTATTACATATACACAGCTAGTAATACAGATGTAGGGAAGATGTTACTACTTTCTGGGGACAGCATATTTTCATGGAAAAGGTTAAAGTTCAGGAGTCAAATAGACACACTTATTTGACTAAAAATCATGATATAATTAGTGCCTAACCATCCTTATTTAATCTCCTTGTTCCTTACCTTATCCTTGAAAAACAGGGAGATAATGACAATTCATATGCTTGTTATGGGCATTAAATGAGATCACATATATAAAGTATTGAGCATAGAGTTTGACACATACCATATAATCAAAAAGTGATAGTTCCCTTTCTTTTCTACCTTTTATTTGGAAAAAAAATTCTCATTCTTAAAATAGTGGTAGCTTCTTTGAGCTTAACTGTAATATCATAGTGCCATCTGGTGACCATGTAGAATTATTACAGCTACCTGTATTGGATATTTAATTTCCTACAAAGCTGTACAGCTAAATACCTGTATTAAAGATGTCATCTCTAATGTGTTCTGGGCTAGTTTTGAAGGAACAGTGAAAGAGAGCTGTGCTTGAAGACTCTACTACTGAGTGTAGAGACCCCTCTCCTGTCTGGACATTCTTTTCTGTCAGGAAGCAGGGCTCAAGAAAGAAGAGAGGAGCTTCTCCCATAGCCTATTCTAAGATGGGCAAATGGCAGATTGAGTGTAGAAGCATGTGAGTGAAGTCTTCACATTCATTCAGCTCTAAGGGAGATGTTGAAAGGGAGGACTTGGTATTTTTTTCCTGTTAAGAGGTCTGCCCTTGAAAAATTGGCCACAGTAACTTTGACATTAAATCCAATCCCAGAGAAGTTTCAAAATAATATAACCCCAAATACCACCCAAATATTCCTAAAAATGGAATAGAAGAGGGTTCTTCTCTATTCTCCCAACTCCCCCCACCCCAATCTGGATGGAAGACTGTACCATCAGAATGCAGTCAATGCCTCTGCATCCATCAGATTTGTACCTGGGCTCAGGTTTTGAGAAGTACCCCCACCAACCACCCCACCTCTAGTAGTGGCTCCAAAGCAAGTCTCAATAGATGGCTATTCTTGCCATCTCTCCTTTGCCATCAAATCAAGTCAAAAACTAGTCAGTTTATTGAATGTGAATTTTATTGTGGTTTGGATTATGTAAGGCAGTGTAGTGAAGGCACTGCAGAAGTAACACAGGCTGACAAACATGATAGAAAATGAGCAAGCTAAAAAAAGCCTACAACATATTTTTTAATGAATGCATGCTGGACTAGACTAGGTACTACAACTATGTTTGTTTGTTTTTTTATCATTGCAGAAGCATTGAAATATTGTTGGGGTGGGGATTTGGGGCTTAGGAAAGGCTTCATGGAGGAGGTGGCATTTGTGCTGGGCCTTAAAGAAGAAATAGAATGTTGATAGATGAGATGGAGGGAAGGACATTTAGGAAGGATTGACTCTAGAGAAAACGCTGTAGAAGTACTGAAAAAACAAGAAGGCAAACAAATACCCCTAGGAAGTGAAGCTACCCAACTGAGAAAAATGCCTGAGGGTTCTGGGCTGGAACCAAAGTCTAAAGGCCTCAGATGGGGTCTTCGGTACCAATGATATTAGGAGGCACAGGACAACCGGTTTGCTTTTAAACCTAGCAGCAGCAGAAGGTTTCACATTGCAGTCAGGGGCCCAAAACTGGATGTACTATGTCTGGATGGATTTTCTTGCCCTTTCAGAGTGTGTGGTACTTATTCATTCTTCCTCTTGCCCACTGACTGCCTGAACCGTAGTTTGTGCACGCCCACATGTGCGTGTGTGAGTGTAGGTGTGTGTGGATGGGTGGGAGACCGAAGCTTTGTCTCCCACTGCAGCTTCAACTTTTCCCTCTTGTGGCACACAGCTGGCTTCCATTAAACTAGAGCTCAGGCCCTTCCCACTATCTAGGCCTTACTGAACTCCAGCTCTTGATTAAGCACCAAGGAAGCTTCCTCAACATGAAGGTAAAACCTACTGTGGGGGGGTGACTTAGGTTAGGGCAGGACTACACTCTCCGGAGGTGGTGATGGTGATGGTGGTGGTGGTGATAGTAATGGCTGGGGACTTACAAGCAGGCTCTGGCTGCTGAATAAAATGCTACAGGGTCATTTGTAGTGTTCAATAAGGAGCTGGGATGTCAGGCTAGACCAGCTTGGCCTTGGTCACCCCTCCTCCTTCCTCAACATGCTCTACAGAGGAGATATATTGGGCATCTGAAAGCAGCAAAGACATCTATAGGGTATCCAGGCTGTTGTTGTCCTAATTGAATCTCACCCCCGGAAGTTCCAGAGATCTTTTCTTAGCAAACATCTATATGATCTATGAATAAGACTGTCACCTCCCCCTGTCCAGCTGCTGGAGGTATATAGGTTATGTAGCTACTGATGCTACTTGGATTGGGAGGTATGGGAAAGTTATCAGAAGAAAGGAAAAGTTAATTACTATTTCTTTTTTTCAAAAGATTATGTATATGTGATAAGACCTTATATCTGACAGAAAATAAAATGATGGAAAACTGTCAGGATTTTCTGGAGCTGGAGATTTAGAGCTCAGTAAGATCATCGCTGGAAATAACCTTAAGGCTTATGTGGCCTTGCTTGACTTTGGCAGTTGGACCACCCTTCTTACGCAGGTACAGAGACTTCAGATCACGGCAGTCACTTGGGTCAGCATCCAGAGTAACCTGCCCCAAAAACTGATCACAGAATTTTCGGCTGTTCCAGACCTGGAGAGACAAATATAGAGAGTGAAGGTAAGCAACCCTCTGTGAGATTGGACTTTGTCCAGTGGCATCTAGAACCTCACGCTAAACTTGGAAAGGTTTGTTTAAAAACCAAAAAGATTATTTTTTCCTGCTACCTCATTGGTTAAGGGAAAGATACTCATAACAGTGATGAAAAGCCAGCAAGTAGAGCTCAAGATCAACCTTGAATTATGAATTATGTACAAATACAATTGGTAAGAAGCATTGAGTCAAAAGAACAACCATTTGTAGTGGTCCATCCTGACATAGCAGGATCAGGGTCATCTGAACTGACATATGCTTCCCCTTATGGGATTTTACAGTACCTATGAGCATGAGGGCTTCTGCCCACAATGAAATAAATGGAAAAGAGGCTATTTAGGATGGAGATTAATAAGGAAGCCAGTATCTATGCCTGGTGAGAATTTTTTTTAAGTATGAAACAAATAAAAAACTGGTTTAACCCTTTCTCTGTATCCTAGACGTATATGAGGCATATGGGATAATCTAACACCTGATACTGAACGTGATACTGAATAGGGACTGAATAGGGACCTGGGGGTCCCTATTCATATTCTTACCTGCACTATAATAGGAATGCCAGTGGTCCTTCTATAGAAAATGGCTTGTGTGTCAAAAATGGCATGAACAGTATTCTTTTGGACAGGAGAACGGACTTCTTCTTTTCCACACTTGATGACCAAATATGGGTTCACAGCTGGAACAAAGTAACATTTGATTTTAAGACAATGATTAAAGTTCTCTTTCTAGAAAGTCCAGAAACTGTCTCACTAGGTCCATTCCGGGACATTGAGCATAACACTGGGGTACCAGAATGATCCAGCACTTTTGTTCCTGGTTCCCTTTTTTCCTACACTTTATAAATGAATACAAAAATGCATATTATGTACTCTTTGCCCAAAGTTTACATTCCATTTTGCCATGTTTGAGAGTCATCCTGACTTGTCTAGACTGAAAATACCATTGGAAAGAATCATTTGTTACCATCTTTCCTAACCATGCATGCAAAAATAAAAATAAATGTTCTTTTCCCAGACACCCTTGCAGTTCTTACTTTCATTGGCATACTTCTTCTCCAGACCCTCAGCACTGTGAACAGTGATCTGGGTAACTACCTTCGGGTAGCCACGAGCAAGGTTCCAGCAGGACATCTTGGGCATGTCCAGAGTCAATTCCCTAGAACATCAAAAAGAAGCCACATTATTGATGATGAACACCTTTTGATGAGGAGATAGTCTTGCCATATAATACAATGTTGCTAAAAAGCATGAAACATTGAGTGACCTAGCCTTACATTTTATGACTATGTTTTTCTTTACCCTTACTTAAGGACTAGCAGATAAAGATCAAAGAAGTCTGGACATGGACAACAAAGCTGGGGACAGGGCAGGGAGGGAGGGGGAGGGAGGAATCAGTGGGGGAAAAAGGAGAAACATCTGTAACAAACATTAATTAATTTAAAAAAAAAAGAAGGGTTCGTATGAAAAAGTAGCTTTGGTGACCCAGCACTCAGAACATAATAAACAGTGAGGAGGTCCAGCTGTCTAAGAGAATAGAGTCAACCAGAGAACAGAAGATAAAATGTAGGTGAATGATCTTAGGCTATAGGCCTGTTCTCCTTAAATGACCGGTCAGAGATTTCAAGCTCAGGTCTGCCACTGGGGAATTTCTCATAACTCCATTTTGAAATACATTTCTACCACCTCATTATCCCTGTTAAATATAATTTGAACAAGTTGTCCCTTTGGAGACAATGCAGAGAATTGGAGTTTGAATTGGAGTTTGCAGGGTTGGCCGAGGAAACTGAACCTGAGCTTGACAGGCACTTCAGAGAAGATTCTCAGGAGAAACTCGCTGGTGCGGCCATGCTGAAACATGGTTGGGACAAGCACATAGTTGCCTTTCTTCAGGTACTTGCTCAGAAACACGGTGCGGGTGTCAATATAGGTGGAAGTTCCAGCGCGCTCCTGGATGTAGAGGTGGTGAAGGCGGAATTTGCGGTTCATCTCCACCTGGAAATGAAATTGAATAAAATGCTTTATTCCACTCAAGTCATAGTTTTTGTGTTGGAAGATCCTAGGTCCTCTGCTTTCTGTATCCCTGAACCTTTCTTAATTCCACTAACTCCAAGCCATCCTAATTTTTACTCTATTTGTTATCATTCCTTCCCCTACAAATGTCCATTCTTACCTTGAAGAGCTCAAAGCCAATGATGTAATTGTCAGGTCTTCCCATGCGGCGATATGTACGCAGGTCCTTCTGTTGCAGGGACATGATGACCTTGTGCCCATCCTCAGGCACAGTGAAGATGTACTAAGGGAAAGAGGCCACCAAAGAGCTTAATTAGCACTTTTATTCAGATAAGCCAGCTAAAAGTTCAAGGAAGAAAACTCTACTTTGGAAAGCAGATACTTGGGTTATTTTCTGGGCTTTGCCACTAACCAAACAGAGAAGACTTGGATAATTCATTGACTTGGTAAGTGTAGATCATAATACTTGATTTTCCCTGTGGCATTTAACATGTATTGAGAGAGATAACTCCATAAGTAGGTCTTTGAGGCCAAAAAGAGTATGCTTTGTTTTAATAAATTCTTGGTAGGATCTTGGGAGTTTTTGTTTTTAATAGTGTCCTCTTGCTTTTGAAAGCTGTACACAGACAAATTACAGAATATATGAAGATATAAAGTATTATTGTTTAACTTAACCTGACACGGCAGCATCCCCCTAGGCTAACCTCTTATTGCCAGGCAGATGTGTGGCTTGTGGATAGGCTGGATCCACTTCCGTGAGAATTGATGTTTTGCTACTGTTTTAGGGAAGCTTCAGGCCTGTGATAGAGACTTTTTAAACATCATATGGGGAATTGTGGTGCCACTGGGAAGTAAAACTAAAGTCTCTCTCTCTCATTCTATTTCTCTCCCTCTCCCTCCATCCTTTCTCATTCCCTTTAGCAAGAAACAGAAAGCATGTGCAGAACCACAAGGCCCCCCAAAAGTCAGTCTTGTGTAGACACCTAACAGTGAGACCAAAAAGGCCATTTCTTCAGCTTGGATTATGTGCTTGATACTTAAAACGTTTCCAGGGTTGCAAATAGAGGTGTAGGCAAGGAGTAATAGGAGCTTTCTTTTCTTTAGGTACAATAAAAATAGAAGGGAGTACTGGCCACTTTGGCTCAGTGGTTAGAGTGTCAGTCAGCAGACCAATGAGTCACAGGTTCGGAGATTCCGGTCAAGGACACATACCACGGTTGTGGTTTGTCCCCAACCTTGGTCAGATCGTGTGGAAGGCAACAAGTCAAAGTGTCCCTCTCACATTGATGTTTCTCTTTCTCCCTCCCTCCCACTCTATCTGATGATAAGTAGAAAAATATCCTTGGGCGAAGATTAAAAAAAATAGAAGGGATGAAGAAAAGTGTGAGTTAAGTGAATAGGCCACCAGTCTTAGTATTCTTCAAAATGCCTGCCAATGAGGTCCATGTAAAGAAAATACACACCCATGTAAGGATGCAATATAGTCAGAATTCTTGTCTCCTGTGGGTTAGCTCATCAGCACATTTGGGGATAAAACCATCAAGGTTATTATAGATTCAGGCTTCGGATGTTTGGATTTTTTGCTTTGGTGTGTGCCCAGGCTTGAGCCATAATGTATCACCTGGAATAGTGTTGTAATAAAACGTAGATGACAGGGTAGCCATTCAAATCCTGGGAGAAATGACCTGGTTCTAGATTAGAAAAGGAAGCATAACTATGGAGTTAAAAAGAATAACTTGCATGAGAAAGAGAACAGATGTAGTAAATGTGCACCCAAGAGAACAAATGAGCAGAAAAGAAATAAAAATTAATTGAGACAGTGTCTGGAAGAATATCCTTTATCTCTAATATTGAACCATAAAAAGGAAGTGGAGGGTGTTAAAGAGCCATACCAATCAATATGGCCAAGAGATAGGTAGCTAGAGGAGAGGGCTCAGACTTGATAATGGTGCTAAGGTACATCTCTCCAGAGACACAGTCTGCCATGCTTTATCAGCATCTGGGTTAATCCCTAGGCATTTTGGTTGATGAATATTATGCAATAACCTCAAATGTAAGTAGTGATGTCAAAGAAATACTCCAAGATGAGCCTGGATTCCTATTGCCTTGATAACTTGGAGGCAAAGAGAAAGAATTGATTCCAACCTGAGGATTCTGCAGGAACGTATCACGGTTGTTATAGCAACCTCCTGAACGGTTCATCAGGGGATCATTATCCACAGTCCAGCATCCCACCACTGATTCTAGCTCTTTGCGGCCAAAAATGGGGTTGTTCACTTTGCGGCAGACATTCAGTTCATGAAAGTTGCGGCAAAAGTCCTCCAGGCTCATCCTGAATGAAAGGAGTACAGGAAAGAAATGAAGATGGTACTTAATACCTACCCATTTAGTTCCATGTAGAAACCATAATTCCCTTAGCACAGAAAATCTCTCCTCACCAAAACTCTCCATCATCAGACATAACAAGATCCAGGTTCTTGCGATCTGCTGCAGTCAGTTGCTGCCACTCTTCAGAACTAAAAACAAATTATCCAAAGAGGGATAAGCCATTATGTTTGCCATTGTCTATCTACAGTAAAAAGTATGCCAAAGAAATAGAATGAATGAAGATTGGGCCTGCTTTATCTCACCTCTGGCTGGGTCAAAGATCCCATGCTTAAGAAGAGCTGATAGATATCACCGAGCATCGACAGCCTACTATCAGTTGGGAGAAATGGTTTGGGAGAACTATAGGGATTTGGAGATGTAGCAGTCAAAGTGGAATGGCACTCACATTTCACTCCAGGGACCACTCCATTCCTGTCTTCCCAAGGGGTTCCTCAGGCGAATCATATACAGCTTCTCAGTACTGAAGACTTCCACAAGTCTCTCTCCAAGACGGATCTTCCGTATATCAGTCATGGTATAGGTATGGCCCTTCAGTAGACCCCAATCAGTTTCAACTTCTTGTTCCTCCTGATTGGGAGACTGAGAGAAAATAAAGATATATAAGAGCACAATAATTGGGAGATCCGAGGCCTAGATCCTCTTTTTCCTTGATTGGTTTACCCCAGTATGGTTGAAGCTAGTTCTCCCTATGAAGATATAAATTTGATACAGACACCTAACTTGACACTAAGCAAGTGAAGGAAAGGAAATAAATAATTTAATATAAAATCACTTAAACAATTCAGATTCAAACTACCCACAGTACCACATTGATATGAACAGCATTAAATTTTGGTACAGCTGGTTTACTTCTTGAGCCTAAAAGCTCAAGGAACAGAGACAGAAGGGATTATTTAACAGAGGCTATTTACATCAGATTGAATGCTGCATTGGCCCCCAGCAGGATAACGGGGACAAAAAGGATAAAAAGTTAAAGCTCCTCAGCCTGTGCCAAGGATCAATGTGTATCGTTACCTTTCTGAGTCTCATAATGGCTTTTCATGAATCTGTACAATAAGGGTGATATTTCCTAGTAAATTTTGTAGTATCCTCTCCTCTGTCAGAAGTGGCCCAAGAGTGTTTTTTTTTTTTTTCTTTTTTTTTTTTTGGTGAATACAAACCTCAATGGAGCAACAGATCAGACCTCCTTTGGTAAACGTTTTGTATAGTTCTGTGAACAGCTTGTACTTCTCCTCAACAAGCTCAGTGTATCTTCCTTTCTGCATGTCAACAGTTTCAGCCAATGTGCCAGTGAAGTCCACTATGATATCAGTGGTGGTCAAACCATCAAGGGCTTCATAACAGCCAAGCAGCCTGAGAGCAAATATGCAAGGTTATCTTTGTAAAATTATTTTTCCAGGTTAAGGACATCTTGTCCCAAGAATTAGAACACTCCCTTCCCATCTAGTCTTTACCATCTGGCTTTTCTCTAGCTATGACATGAGAGTTATTTTGAGATTATAGTCAGAGATTTCTAGACTTAAACTATGTTTGCCAAGGACAGTTTATGCAGAAACTTCTTTCTACATGTAAATACTACACAAGGAAAAAATCAGAGCCCATGCTATGTAATTTGCAGATTAGCAGAAATAAAAGACACCTAGAAGAAGGTAAGGGGTTGACAGAAACCAGAACATCTGGTTTCTCTCTAATCTAGGATTATTTAAATCCAATCTGAGGCCCAAAGCATGTCTTGGATCTAACTCAGATTTTATCCAATTTAGACTAAGGGGGTTGGGCTGGAAGAGAATGAACTCCCAAGGAAATATGTGGCCTTCCTTTCCTCATGCGCTAGTAAACCCCCACTCCTTACTTTGCATAAGCTTTTTCCAGTAGAGCATTCCAAAACTCATTCATGGAGGTGGAGAAGGAGAAAACCAGATCTCCATTGATGGTGGGAAGCAAGTCATCAATCACCACCTCGGTCCATTCTCCGAAATGCCAGAAACGGAAGCGAAATATCCCAGCATATTTATCTAGTTTTCGAGGGTCCCATTCCTGTTCCTTATGGTTGGGAATTGTCTGGAAATATAGGAACATTCAATAAACTCTTATTCACAAGACTATATCCAAATACTGAGATTAAAGTTGACTTCCAGCAAATCCAAGCACACTAATATATTTGGTCTGGATCTAGACTGAAATATCCTAGGTAGGGAATTCCCCCCCACATACACACACACACACAACCGTTGTTTTCCCAGTTCAGTTTTTCTGAGGATAGCATTAATATGTCTGCCATGAATACATAGAGGGTGATTGGGGGCAGCCAGTTAGGGGTTAAATTATTTCCCACAGATAATCTATAAATTTGATCATAAAAAGTGTCTATCCTGGCTGGTGTGGCTCAGTGGATTGAGTGTCATCCCATGGACTAAGAAGTCCTGGTTCAATTTCCAGTCAGAGCACATGGCCAAGTTGCCGGCTTGATCCCCAGTAGGGGAGGTGCAGGGGGCAGCCTATCAATGTTTCTCTCTCTTTCTCTAAAAAAAAATCAATAAAAACACATTTTTAAAAAACATCTATACAAACATATCTATGGTTGTATGTTTAACCACAAAAACAAGCATTTTAAAAATTAAATGCAATCGAAATACAAGGCCTCCAGTGGCTTCAATTTTTTAAAGTCCATCCTAGAGATTTCATGTAGATTCTATAGAATATAAATTTTATTTACAATTTGAGTAAAGTTATATTTAGATCTCCATTTCTATACAATTACATATTAATCTACTAATTTTTTTCTGAAGAAAATGCTCTTTGTCCCAAATCATATCAATACTTCATTGCCCTTAACTGTAACTAAATGCCAAAGAAATTTTGTACTCTTAATAACTTATTTGTTCTTCTTCAAAGATCCATTTTCATCATAATACATTTTCATTATCCCCAGTCCCTAATAGCTTTATACCCCTGTAGGTACAGAGTTAAGAAGTATACAGAGATAGTGGGTCAAAACACTGAAAGTGAAAAAATATAGAGTAAAATCTTAATGGTAGAATCTGGGTTAGTATATGGGTGTTTACTATAAAATTCTTTCAATTTCCTGTATTTGTGCAAAATCTCATAATAAAATGAATGGAAGTTACCTAGTTAATACTCTGATTTCAAGAATTAGAAACCTAGAAAGTTATGAGCTGGCTTTTACTGAAATCATTATAGAAGACAAGAAGGTGCAAACTGGTTAAGTCCCATAGGAGGGGCAATACCTTTGTCCAGTGAGACTCCTGAACAGCCAAACAGGAAAATGCAGAGACCATTGGCTTGTGCCCCAGTCTACCTTGGATCAGCTGGTGGTTGCTGATGTTGCCCACAATCAGATGGGGGTCATCACAGATGTCCTATGGAATACAACAATTGGTTCTAAGAGTCTGGGAATTGTTTCCAAAGAGCCAATGTGAGCTGAGCTAGGAAGGATAGAGAGATGGGATCGAACAATGACTAGAACTTACACAGATGAAATAAAGGAAGGTTTGGGGATTGTGAGTAAAAGTACAAATCATTAGATCATCTAGGCACAGGAAAAGAATAATGTGGGGAAAGTGGCAGGAGAAATGGAAGGAGAATATGCAATGAAACAGGATAAGATGTGTTGATTGGAGTTCTCAGACATAGCTATCACTGGGGTTTGGAAGAATTTTCAGCACAGCACTGAGCTTTAAAAGAAGAGAACTAAGTTTTAGCTCATTATATTCTGATCTTATCTGTCAGGATGAGATTTTCTGAAGTACTTGTGTTTAGAAAGATGATTAAATTTAAGGGAAAAGCCCTGATGGAGGTAAACATAAATGATTCTCCCTCTCTAGGAAAATTATTTAAGATACCTTTTACATGAAGACCTTTCCTAACATAAAGCAAAGGCAGCAGTGGTCTCCATGGCAACTAGGTTTTTTTCCACATCTTTGGATAAATATAGATGGCAGCAGCACTAATAGCAGGTGGTAGTAGATCATTCACAGGAGCATTTCAACAGGCACTCTTTCCCCACAATCCATGTTCTGAGGGAACCTGGATAGAGTGGGGACAGCATTTGTTTGGAGTGTATGTGTGTGTCTTCCCCAACATATCATTAGCAGGACCATTCCCAACTTTGAGTAGGAAAATGAGACTCAAATAACACAATTACAACAAAATGTAATGAAGACATAGTTGAGGCATTTTCAAAGTATAATCAGTGCCTAGAGGAAGGATCCCTATTACCCTGGTGAGTAGATTGAATAGGAGTGGCAATGTTCAAGTTGAAGCCTTAGGAACAACTAGGGTTAGGCAGTTGGACAAGGGGAGGATATAAAGACCCCATGGGTAGAAAGACAAGCATGAACAAAGGTATAGCTGCATACATGACACGATATAATTGAAGACATGATTGTGTGACTCAGAGGATCAGCATTTGCAGAGTTAAAAGGCAGGGAATACCAATGAAATTTTGAAAAGATGAAGGAAGCTTACTGGAGGAGGCCATTGGCCAATACCTTGACATTTTGCTTACCCAGCAGAAACAAATCCTAGTCTCAAATGGAAAGAAAATCTAGACATATATTCATTTTTAAATTATTAAAGAGAGACAGTTATACTTTTATGATTTTCAAACCTCTTTTTTTTTTTTTTTTAATGGACATAATTCTTCTTGTTGAAGAATCTGGTCTACAGAATGAAACATTCCATCTATTCTTTAAAAGCCAAAATAACTCTGGAAAGGAATATGCATTCTGGGCAGGGACAAGCCCAAACTGAAAGATTAATTGGGCATCCCTCTGCCAAAAGGAGAGGGTTAGGTGGGTTGTCAGCTTTGGATTTTTTTTTGTGTGTGTTTCTTTTTTATTGCACGTCTGGTGTCTCATCATTATTTTTTTTTGTCTCAGGAGAGATTCTACCCTACTAAGATTTTGTGGGTTGGGAGCTGCCTATTTTTTCACTTATTGAATATAAAACAGGTGTGTTAGATGGATTATATCCTGATATTCTTCCTTTTATTTTCTTCCCATTTCTAAGATGAAACTAAACACAGTTTTCTTCCTTTCTGGGTCAGGTACTACCATTTTATTTTGCACAATATGTAAAGTTACATAATGATTTATTGATCTTAGATGATGCATACAATAGTTTCCAAGCATAGAAAAACAGTACAATGAACATTGATGTGTGAAAAAAGTATTTTTTATATCATTAAGACAAATTATTGTCTAGTTTTATGTGGAGTTATTAGTAATGGGGCTTACAGTGCAGTGTCTTCAATTTATAAAAGGCTTTCATTTCACAGCAGAGATCTAGGCTCCACCAACATTTTTGGCATGTCAACTTTTATTCAAGACATAAAAGATCATATAAATGAGCAAAAAGACATATAAGCAGAAGCCAAATTGAGGACTCAGGTAATTATTCTCTTGTCAACCTAAGGTATAGTGTGTGTGTGTGTGTGTGTGTGTGTGTGTGTGTGTGTGTGTGTAAAGCTAAATATAATCATGGTAGAATATGTATTTTGGCAAAAGCCCACCTTACTTTCTTGTAAACTGGCCCATGCCCCAGTTTTACTTCACCATTTTTCATATATGACGGATAGCTATTTAACAGTGGGTTTTAAAACAGGATAAGTTAACACTCTATAGACCTTCAAAGCTGGAAACATTTAGAGACTATTTAGTCAACCTGTCCATTATACAAATGAGGCAACAGGGTCAGAGAGGTCAGTAACTTGCCCCTTCGATCATCCAGCTAGTTAGTAGATTTAGGATTGACATTTTAGGTTCTTTAAAACCTATACAGCTAAATAAAGAACCCAAGACATCAACTGGTCTATCCTGTTGCCTTTGGTTTTATCAACAGACATCACAAAAAGGATAATTTTGTGCAGATTTTTAGGGACAGAGATACAACTACCTCTCTCAATCATTCATCTCTTTCTTTTATGTGTCTTTGCTTAACACAAATAAAAGCTCTTCATTGTTCTGAAATATTTGCTTAAATTATGTCTTAACTTTTGATTCCAGGCTAAACCTCATTAACAAGATTTAATCTCCTCAATTGAATACACTAAATATGAATCAATCCATTCTGTATGTAAGCATAATGATGTGAAATATGGGAACAAATCTTTACTAAGCCATATTTTCTACCTCTTGAAGGAAGTAAAAAACTAGAAAGCAGCTTAGGAGGTAGAAAGGGTAAAGGGTAATGAGCCAATGCAAGTCTAAAAGTGGTAGGGAGTGGAGTTGTGGGAGAGGTCACAGCTCACATAGTCATATTTGGGTGGCTTGGAAGGGAGAGAAGATTGCTGAGCCCCTAATGACTCCCAGCTGTGTTGGCACAGTTAACATGATCCTTGAACTGGGCTGTTTGTCAAGGCAAAATAATTTCTTAGGGGGAAAACACACACAAGTAGGAAGTCAAGCACTAAGAGTAAAGCCAGAAATGGTCTCTGCAAATACCCGTCCCTGAGCCAAAACTTTCCAAAAAACAACAACAAAAAAAAATGCAGCTTCTCTAGGAAATAGGTTTTCTTAGCTGAGCACTGAGAGACCTTCTCATTGTCCTCTCACATCTCCTTTGTCAGATACCTCTGGGACGTGTAAGGGGGCATAAAATTACAGTTCTTGGAGCCCTGCACTTGTAACTCTATGTGGCTCCATTTATATCTACCACATCCATATCTCTAGAATTTTTTTAACAGAGGTAAAATTTGATGACAGTAAACATTGAGGTCCATGGCAAACTGCAAGAACCAGTTGAATAAAAGGCTGAATAGTAAACCAGCAACCAGAAGAGTGGAGACACTTTTAAAAGTGCTATGTGCAGTCTAGCAGTACTGGGGGCATGGTGGCATGGATAACTACAAGTGAGGCCAACCCTGCAATAGGTATATTATGACTAAGTCCAGGGCTCTAAGTAGTCTCAGAAGGTTCAGGGCTGCATTCAAGACCTATGGGCTTTCTGTGCTAGCCCAAGGTGCCATGATCTTATCCTTAGAATATTGAACCATCTACAGATAAGACATTGATAAACAAACCTAGGTGCAGGAACCAATGCTGAACCAGCCTCTCAAGGAGTCCATTTTACCTGCTGAGGAGTTTTGCTTCTGCATGAAGATATTGTCATCAATGCAACATTCTCTTCCTTTCAAACCTTCCCAAGGAAAATTAAATATGGAACCTGGGAACAAGGTTTTAAGTCCAACTTCCACTTCTAACTTAGACAATCAAGTCACAACCTAATGTTTGTTTTTTTTGTTTGTTTTTTTTTTTTTTTATTTGAATAATCAAACTTCTGGTAGGAAACTTTAGATGTAAATCCAAAACTGATTTTTTGGGAAGTTTGTATATCCATGCAACGAAATACTGTTCAACAATGGAAAGGAACAAACTGACACATGCTACTATATGAATGACCCTTGAAAACATTATTCTAAGCAAAATAAGTTAGCTACTTTTGTGATGCCATTTTTAAGCAAAATGTCCAGAATAGGCAAATCTAGATAGAAACTAAAAGTAAAGTAGGAGAAGGAGGGATTTACCCACTGCAAATGTGCACAAGTTATCTTATTGGAATGATACAATTGTTCTAAAACTATATTGTAGTGATGTTCACACAACTCTGAATATTCGCTAAAAATATTAGTGCATTGTATACCTAAACAGGTGAATTATATAGTATATAAATTGCCTTTTTATAAAGCTGTTAAAATTTTAAAACAGAAATTAAAATAAATAGAATAGTTGGAAAAAGTATGAGCCTATTCAACTATCTTCAAATGTGTCAACAGTGAAAAATACCTAGGACTACTCAGGTCAGAGGGAGGCAGGATCTATGGGAAGAAAAACTTATGAACAGTTGAGGCCAAATTTACTGTGCAGGGATTTTATATTCAGATGAGGGTTGGCAATTTCCATTAGCACAAAGAGAGAGGTGTTTCCTCCTTTACCATTCCTTCACATGCAATCTATCACCATTTCTAATGTCTCCCTCATCAACCTTCCTTCCCATTCCTATCATCTTCACTTTATTCCAGAACCTCATCATCCTCCTCCCATCCAGTGTAGTGAAATGGCCCCTGAGGGAAGGTATTAACTAGTAGAACATACAGTCAGGAGCAATGTGAGTGAAAGTTGAACTCAAAATTTGACTAGGAGAACTGACAGAAGATCTTGTACAGGTGCCTTTACTTCTCCCACAGCTGGCTATACAAATCACCATGAGGCCTTGCTCCATTTTAGTTTAGATTAGATGTTTCTTCCTCTAAGACACTATTATGACTGAGTATGAGTCATCCAGGAAAAAAAAATCAGACAGGGGTAGTAAGGGTGAGTAGCTAGAGGGAGTTGGAGAAGAGGTTTTCAGTGGGAATACGGTGGCCAGATTTCATCATAAAAATCTTACCTTCAGTCTCATGATCACACTGTAACTCAGTAAAACTCAGCTTTTAGAATTTACTAAGACTTTATATGTTGAGGACCCAGAAGAAAAAGAAAGTCCAGGAGTAAATGTCTCAGGCAATGTACCTGTGTACCCAGTAAGCTAAGACAGTAGCAAGGGCCATGTGGCCACTGGAGGAACTAAGGCAAAGTATTTTCCTCTGGAGGGTATGGACATTAAACAATTGTAAAACACTCTATTTAAAATGGCTCCTTAAGCCCTGGCCGGTTTGGCTCAGCGGTTAGAGCGTCAGCCTGAGGTCCGGAGAGACCCAGGTTCAGTTCCCCCTAAGGGCACGTACTTCGGTTGCAGTTTGTCCCCGGCCGTGGTTGGTTGTGCGGGTGGCAGCCACTCGATGTGTCCCTTTCACATTGATGTTTCTCTCTCTCTCTCTCTCTCTCTCTCTCTCTCTCTCTCTCTCTCTCTCTCTCTCTCTTCCTCTCTCTCCCTCCCACTCTATCTGTACAAAAAATGGAAAAATGTCCTTGGGTGAGGATTAAAAAAAATAAAAATAAAATAAAATAAAATGACTCCTTAATACATAGCAAGGAAGCTGCAAGTTGGAATATGGGGAAGTCAATCCTGTCCAAAGATGGCAGGGCTTGATTTGTGTTAATTGGTTCAGTTAGCAGTGGTGATTACAGGCATAGGGGCTTATAAAGGCAGAAGCTTTTCAATGCAGGAGAGGAAAGAAACAAGGTTAATCATGCTTCTTCCATTTTAGAGACTTCCAAATAGGTCAGATTGAGTATGAGGCTATGTGGCATGCCAAGGGACAAGAAGTCTGTAAGTTTCTCTGCAAACCAGGATTTCAACCTTGCCAATGAGGTGGGTGAGGCCAATGACCCATCTGGTCTTCCTGAGCCAATTCAGAGAGGCCCACCGCTGTCTGTCAACTTTCCTGATGGGAGGCCAGAGAGCTTTGACGTGGTTCTTGACCACAGGCTTGGCCTCCACACTGACTGAAAAGGAATCCAAAGCTTTTTGAAGAGACTCAGATGGTGGTCCAGAATCTTGTTTTTCTCCTACTTTCCACAATAGGCCCCCTCCCCAACCACTTCAATCCACAATGATCTCTCCTTCAGAAGCTTATATGATTTATTGTTTATATGCTAGAAAATAGAATTTCTTATATCCAGCATTAATTTATTAACTCTTTAATAGGTCAATATCCATCTCTTCAATTAGAATGAAAGTATTTATCCCCAGACCATGTCTGAATCTTGCACAAAAGCTGGCATAGAATGTTTTTCAAATGCTTCTCCCTTTGGGCTTAATTAAGACTGAGCTCACTGTATGCTCTAAAAAGCGAAAATATGGATCATTTAATGATGTACAGCATCAGGACAGTGAGGAGAACTAATTGGAGAACTATGTATTTTAGTAAAAGAGACACATACAACTCTATGTCCCTAAAATGTCAGCATGGTGAAAACTAATGTGGGCTTTGCAGTCAAAACTGGATTCAAATCCTAGCATATTAACAGTCTGATCCTGGACAGATTCTTATCTTATCTCTGAGAACTACTTTCCTCAAGCATGAAATAAACATGGTATCAACTTTTATCTTTTAAAACAGGAAAAATGAGCCCTGGCCAGTTTGGCTCAGCGGTTAGAGCGTCGGCCTGGGGTCCTGAGAGACCCGGGTTCTGTTCCCGCTAAGGGCATGTACCTTGGTGCAGTTTGTCCCCGGCCCTGGTCGGTTGTGCGGGTGGCAGCCACTCGATGTGTTCCTTTCACATCGATGTTTCTCTCTCTCTCTCTGTTCCTCTCTCTCCCTCCCACTCTACCTGACAAAAAAATGGAAAAATGTCCTCGGGTGAGGATAAAAAAAAAGAAAAAATGATATCAAAATGATTTTTAAGATACCTACCTTGCTAAACAATGACAAATAAGGATGAAATGAAAATGTATAGGAAACTCCAAACACAGTATCTGGGCCCCTAGTAGGCATGCCATATATGCTGATACCTTTTCTGCCCATTTCCATTCACCTTCTCTTTCTGACATCCCCTCACCCTGGATGAGGTATTGCTTGCCTCAGAGGCAAAATGGGCTATTGCCACAGTTATTAAGTTTTTTACCTTCTCTGATAATCCACCTAGGATTCAACCCACAGAATGTGAAATATGAAGGCAAAGGACAAAGGACTGAGCTATGACAGAAGAAGGATGTGTCAAAAGACTGGCCAGTACAGGAAGCACTTTTGGCTTGGTTCACAACTGAGGAATGGCTTAATGTCGGCTTGTAATTTTGCTGCCCATTGGATCTCCTTCCATCTCCTCCAGGATTCATGCATTTCTTCAATAATCAATAATCAATTCATCAATCATTCCTTTTTTCTGCTGTCTTCAACCTCTTCTACTTTACAGTTTATTGCTTAGACTATGAATATGTTCAAGTCTGTTCAATTTATTAACACCCCCAAAGAAACATTCCTCAATTTCCTGTTTTCTTTTCAGCTATTTCTGCCTAACTGATCTCCTTTCTTTTATATACACGCATCAGAAAAAAAACAAAACAATGCCCCTCGTTATCACCATCCACTCATAATAGTAGTTCCAGACAATATAGCTCTATTTTCTTCATGCATTTCTGGGAAAAATAACAAAAACCTTACCTCTCTGCATACCTAATTAATGACTAGTGAATTCTACTCACGTTTCTCAGAATTTATTGTAGGTCAATGATCTGCAGGGAGGTTAACACCTGGAAGCCCATAAAGTCAGGAGGAGTATAATCTTCCTTCTGATGGAGAGATTTATCTAGGTCTCATACTTTCAATGGCTATCATACTTTATGGGAAAAATCTGAGACATGAACCTGGAGGGTATTATGCTCAGTGAAATAAGTCAGTCAGAGAAAGACAAATACCATATAATTTCACTTATATGTGGAATTCAAGAACAAAATAAATGAACATAATACAGATTCATAGACACAGAGAGCAGACTGGTGATTGTCAGAGGGGAGGGATGTTGGGGGACTAAGAGAAAAAGTTGAAGGGATTAAGGAGTACATATTGGTAGCTACAAAATTGTTGTAAGGGAATCATGGAAGTAAGGGAACAGACTGACAAACCTCACAGGGATGGGGGATTGGAGGGGAGGAAAGAGATAAACCAAAGAACTTATATGTATATATGCACAGCCAATTGGCATGGACACTAGGTTGGGAAAGGCAGGAGAGGTTTGGAGCAGAAAGGAGGGGGTCAATGGGGAAAAAGGGAGGACATCTGTAATACTTTCAACAATAAGAAATATAAAATAAAAAATAACAATAAAAAAAATGTTGTGAGGATGTAAATTAAACCAAAGGAAATAGAGTCAATGACATTGTGATAACTATGCATGGTGCCAGTTAGATACTAGAAATACTGAGGAGAACACTATGTAAAGTATATAATTGTATAACTACTAAGGTGTATGTCTGAAACCAATATAAAATAATATTTAAGGTAAACTGTAATTGAAAACAACAACAAAATGTATTTTGAATTGCATAGAAAACAAGTCTTAAAGTGACCAATGTATTTTGGCACCACCTGGTGGCAACCTACATAAACTGAAGTAACTCTTGTAAGAACTTCATTCAGGAGTTGAAGCTGTGGAAATTGCAACTAAAAAGTGATAGCTTGTTCATTGAAGAAGACAAACCTTAAATTGCTAACTGAGGTGGTTCCATAATAGTGCCCAAAAGGTATGTCATTAAATAGAATCAGAAAGTCTTCAGAATACTGTGAAGATCCAATAATTTGCATTTCATAACAGTCCTCTGTTGCCTATATTCCTGGTCATACACTTTGGGAAGAAATCCAGGTAGTATATCCTTCTATTCAGTTGATATCTTTTAGATATAGAATGATTGTCATTTATTCTCCAGACTCCATCATCCCATCATTTTATGCACTGAGCTCCTGCTCCTGTAGGGCTTGTGAAGGCATGAAAATACTTGCTTTTAAGATAACCTACAGATGTTCCACAAAGAACCATGATAACTATTAATAAGTGGTGAAAGAGCTGCAGTCCTACTTGAATACCACTTTGCTAATTGTAGGAGGATATAGTTGATGGTATCCAAATAGCAGCAAAGAAGCCTCCCTTCCCTAAATCAAACTCCATCTTCTACCTACAGAGTTCATTTCATTTATGCTCTGCATAAGAGGAGCTTTTCTTCTCACTGGTTTGAGATTATCATAAAGGCGCTGTGATAAGCAACTCAGTAAAGTGTATAGTTGTTTTTTTAGTCACCATGCTTACTTAAAGGAACTTCCAAAGAAAATAAAGATGGTATCTATATATATTTTTTAAATTACTAAGCCTGAGAAAATTTTACTGAAGTTCAAGATTCCTCAAGGTATAGCCAGAAACAAATTCTTAAAACTTCCCATTTTAAAGTTGTCTCCTAAATTGTTCTACATGCAGTAGACTGTGTGAGTGAAATAGTGGACCAAGTAGTTATACTGAAATAAAGAGGGAGACAGGAATTGCAAAAAGAAACTTACCTGGGGACGTTTCCACACCACCTTCCCGGGAAGCAGTCGGTTGTAAAAAAGTGAATCATTCTCGGGCAAAAAGGTTGGATCACAGAAAAGTATACCATCTTTGATGCATTCCTGTTTTAGTTCCTGGTACTTCTGGCTTTTGAAGAGCTTCAGAGGAGGACCCATAGTGTTAAACTATGTCTAGAATGAGAAAAAAATGTGTGTTATTAGAGGAAGAAGTTTTTGAGTCTTTTAAAGATTAACTGATTAGACAAATGGTAGTCATCCCAATGACTTATTCCTGAAGCTAGACACTTCAAGTTTGGCTTTAATGGAAAAGTCACCATTGTCAGGGGGAAAATAAAAGGTCCAGGTTCTGCAACTAACTAATTTGAAGCTTTGCATAAGGTATCTAAGCCATTCTGGGGCATCAGTTTTTTATCGGCAAATAAGAAAATATGGACCTTAATAGTATCACTGGAAAAATAGGTAATAAATGTTATGTTTGCTTGTTAAATGTGAGTCACTATAATTTAAAGGGCAGTCTTACATTTCACACTGGCAGGAAGGAGTTCAAGACAGAGAACAATTTTAAATTTGTGATGAAGATAAAAATGGGTTTACTATATTCAGAATAAGTTGGTGGCCTGAAGGGCCACACAGTTTGTGCTTGAGGGAAGAAGCAACCTTTTTCACTTCTAACAAGCCCTTTTACATAGTTCCTTCCCCTTTATTATCAAAGAGCTTTGCATTTTTATTACTGACCAGAAAGGCTAATGCAAGAAACAGAGCTCAGCAGTTGGCCTCCAAAGACAAGGCAAGAGAGAAAAATTTTATGTGTCTTTTTTCTTCAAAGTCTAATGTGAAATCATTTGCCCTTGATAAAAGGCAGACTTCGAAATTCAATTACACTGATTTGGTGGACTATAGATTTTTATCCCATGGCCATACACTGTTGCTTTCCTTTCTTTAAAAAAATGATCTCACATGACAAAATAGAGAATAGTTTCCCAGAACCTCCTAGTCACTAATCATTTTGGATAAATGAGTATTTCCTGTTCTTGGAAAGGCCCTCTGTCCCATCACTCTCCCTTGCTACTCAGTCAAATGAGTATGCAAACAGGAGCCAGCAAGGGGATCCCTCTTATAAAAAGAGGACCTGTCTACAGACTGAAGCAACATCAAATGCAAAGAAAATCAGGTTTCATTTTAAAAAACAAACAAACAAGCAAACAGTATGATCCCAGCAGGCTCTTTTGGAGGGAGAATGTACAGCTGGTGTAAATAGGTCAAGTCTTTTGACCTGCATCTGGGGGCTTACAATAAATAAGTAATGACAGCTATCATCTTATTTGACAGATTTCCATTAGAGTGCAACTGTAGTCTCATGTCCCATTCAATTTGCAGGGTAGAATTGACCCCTATTCTGACTAAGTATTAGAACAACTATGTTCCATTTTTTGTGACCTTGGTATCTTTGTGCCTCAATTTTCATGTTGAGAGAGTGAGGGTATCTATCCTGCCCTCCTTACACTATGGCTGTACCTAATGAGATACTTAGTGTAAAAGTATTTTATATAAGTAGGAAGGGCTCCATAAACGCAAGATATACACTGTAAGCCATCTCATTGCCTGGCATAAAGCTGGGCACAAAACCATTGTTCAGGAAATAGTTGTGCAATGGATGAATGTCTTATGTAGAAAATGCATGTTTATATGGCAAGTCATTGTTTGAAATATAAGTTAAGTTCACAATCTTTTCATGGCACTCAGGTATAGTAGATATTATTTGCACCCTTCATTTTTTTATCTTCAGAAATGGCAGCGCAGAGAAAGGACAGCTAGAAACTTGCAAAGCCAACTCAGATCTTGGTTTGTGTAATGCCAGATTTAGTGTGCAGCTTTCCATCATGCCACACTGCTTCTTTTGGTCACTGCCTTTTTTGTGTTCTATTTTTTTTTTTTTTTTGGTATGTGCCCCTATCAGGAACTGAACCCAGGACTCTCTGGTCCGCAGGCTAACGCTCCAACCACTGAGCCAAACCGGCTGGGGCAGTCACTGCCTTTTTTGAAGAAGGGATTTTTTTTTTTTTTAGCTCAAATAAGGAAAACCTTCCAAAGCAAACATAATACCTAGCTTTGAGGCATTTTGCCTAGAATATATTGTCATGGTGGATATTAAAAAGTTTCTTTATTTCCATAGTTTAATGATCATGGGAGAACCCAAACCCTTGACATTTGAAGGTTCATCAGTTAACTGTCAGAAAATTTATGAAAACCCAGAAATTCAAGTCATAACTTATTTGTCATAAATAATTCGGCCTATCAGAGAGTAAGAGAATGAAAAAAGAAATGTTCCTTTTTTGCTATCTTACTGCACCCAACTGTGAATAAGAGAGAGCCTTTAGGTTAATAACCACATATTAAGAAATTCAGTAAATAGAAGCAAATCTAGGGATTTAAGTATCAACTAAAAGAGCTCTAGCTAACAAATAGTTAACAAAGGGAATATGCACATCTAAGAGGAGGAACAACTGTGTCCTGAAACAAGTATCATGAGTGGCTGAGTGAAGCCCAGTGTGGGGCTTTGCACTAAGATAATGGCCTTAAGCAATATTATTTGAATTGGGACCCACTGCCTAGAGATAGAGCATGAAGAAGGCTGAAGAAGGCCGTGTGGTTCAAGGCAAGTGGGAGGGGTGGATGTAGAGTATGGATAGTTGAGAATTGCCATGGGAAGCTGAGGGAGCCTGCCACGTACTGTGCAAAGCTATAGTTAGGAGAAGTTTTTGCTACTCACTGGACTGGAAAGCTTGGGGAGCTGGGCAAACTCTTAAGAGAAATATTATTTGTTCTTTACTTATGAATTAGTCTTAGAATAGAAACCAGATTTTGCTCTAAAAAGTTAAATCTAATTCAGTTTATTAAAAAGAATTATTAACTGATAGAGGAAACCCAGTCTGAGGTTTACAAACTTCTGCTGATTGGGGTGAGTGGGAGGGTAAGGGAAGATATTTTAGGGAGAGAGAGGGAGAGAGCATGGCTTCTGGGGTACTGTTCCTGGCTAGTTTCTCCTTTCCCCCAGTTATGCTCTTGTGCTGTACTTGGGATAAAATCGGAGGTAAAAACTATTAGGTGTTGTTGCAGAGCAAACTGAATAAAGAAGACCTAACTCTCTCCTCGAACGAAGTAGGGGTCACTTTAACCACAATCAACAGTTCCTCTTCTCACACTTGGGGGTGGTACACTGAGAGAAATGGGGGTTGGAGAAGGAGAAGTAATAACAATTCAGTATCCACATGTTATACAAAGAATAGAGCTTTCCATGTCTACCCAGCCAAAGTCCTAGCCCACAACTATGGGCAGGCATCTATTAGGAGACAAATGGCTGTTAAGATTCAAATTGTTAGCCAGATATTCTGGGGTTTGAAAGGGACCATAAAAGTCCTCTGATTCAGTCTTATCTAAGAGGACACATCAACTCTGCCCAGAGAGAAGACTGTTCAAAGACATTTGAAGAAAAAAACAGCACACAACTTCCTTTAAATCCATTATTGAAGAACTCTATAAAAAAATATAAAGCAATTCAGAATCATAAAAAGAACACAGGTAGTCAGGAGATCCAGAATCAAGTCCCAGATACCACCGTTTAGTGTAGATAACATCTCTGTCCCTCAGTTTCCCCATAAGCACAATGGAAAAATATATGATGGCTGCCCCATAAACCTCACAGTGTTATTGAGGAAATCTAATGAAGTTAAGTGCATGAAAATACTTATTAACTGTTAAGGATAACCGGTGTAAGACAGTAATATTAGGAAACATTATTTTTTTAGCAAATTAAGTATCTTTTCTGTCCTTAGTGGAAAATAGGAGATTTGATCACATGCTTTATATAAGATACTCAAGGACATTTAAAAGACCAATGTAAAATGGCTCCTCTACTATTCAATACCTCTTCTTCTTTTCACCTTTGCTTTTGGGCTGACTTGCCCCACTAACCGTTTTTCCCTCTTAAATGAATAAACTCATCACTCTGATTTTATAGCCTTCTGAGAGTCTAATCCCAACTTTTTGTAGAATTATACTAGAAGAACTCTGAGAAATCACTTAACCCAAATCCTTTCTTTTATAGGAAGGTGAAGGGACTTGCCCAAGGTTACATAGTTAATGACAGAGCTAGCACTAAAACAAGGATCTCCTGACAATTTTCTCCATAATTTTAAAAAGGGATGAGGGGTAAGTGTGCAATCACAAAACCTCAAGACATTACTTTGGAAAATTCTCATTGTCCTCCTCTTACAAGAATACACTGAGAAGTTTTGTTTTTAAATTGTAAGCTGTCAGAAGGTGAGATGATTTCAAATCAAGGCTAATCAAAGAAACACTGTTTTGGGGGCACAAAGGGGCTTTTTCTGCTTTTAATTTAGGAAACGAAAACACCCAAAGATGCAGAGAGCCTGCTTTTTAACTTATTCCTACACAAGTGTTTTTAGAGTTTCCCTAGCCTACTAGGGACTTAAGGATAAATAAAGAATGCTATTCAAATCCCAAGTATTCACATACACACACACACACACACACACACACACACATGTTCATACACACGTACATGCACACAAACTGCTGGAGAAATGAAAGAGTTAATTAACAATGCTCAAGGAATCCTTTAAGAATTCCTTTAGGCTATAAAAGGTTCTTAATGTCACAACAAATATTTTTATGTGAAAAATTATTCAAATTTTAATAAAATGTTAGTAAAAACCAGGATGTTTTATCATGCAGCTGGAAGTGACTATCAGGATGGCAAAATTTGTTTTTTCCTATGTACTTTTCATCTAACCTGAAACTCAAAATCCTCAGAACCAATTATCAATTGTAATACTCTAATCTTTTTTCTGCCCTACTCACCCCCCACTCTGGTCAAGTAGCCCAGTTAAGCCAGAGAACACCAGTGACAGTGTTGTGGTGGGTTGGTGGGGTGGGGGAATAGAACTACAACTTCAAATCAAAATTTAAATAAAGCAAGAATTAGAGGAGAGCAAAACCAGGCCATTCAGTGTCTGAAAATAAAATAGCCAAAATCAACCTGTCACCAGTGCAGAAGGACTCCTGGCTGTGCAAACAGGACAGCCTCTGCTGCCACTCCCTCCTATGTAACAGTGCACAGCCCGTGCACCCCACTTCCAGGACTTAAAGAGCTTTTGTATACATTGTGGTTCCAAGATTTTGCCTACATTTCAATAGTGTGTCCACAGCTGTGGTTTAGACAAAGCTAAAATGAAGCCTTGACACTCAGCCTTGGTTCTCCCTCTCACTTACCTAAGTAAGATTTGTCCTTTCTTACCAGAAATTTCAGTAAAAAGAAGACACACACACACACACACACACACACACAAGAAAGAAAGAAAAAGAAAAGTTCATATATAACCAGAAAATTTTTATTGCCAAACAACCACAATCACCCCACACACACCCAAAAATAACCAATCAAAAAATTCCATTAGTTTGGAAGTTTCCAAACTGCTAATTATACATGCATGTTCAATCCAGATAAACCATAAAATTATAGCTGTGGATTTTGATTAACTGTAAAGTTAAAGTTTCTTCACCTCTTTTATACAACAAGTTATCCAGCAAAAAAAAAATTTAGAAGAAGTTAGTGAATGCCCTCTCTACTCACCTAAGTTATCCCAGTTGCTGCTGCTCCTGTTGCTGCTGCTGCCGCCGCTGCTGCCGCTGCTCTTGGCCAGGTAACCCCTACAAAGTCTGTTCAGTCAGTGCAGCTGAACAAAGATTCTGGCTTTCTTAACCTGAAAACTATTTGGGCTGTACCAAGCTCTGCTCACAGGGGGAGGTGACTTGCAGAAACTTCAGGAGACTTTGCCCCGCCTAGCAGTCAGAAACTGATCCTGAGTCATGAGGAAAATCTGGAAAGCACGCCTGCCAGATGTGCAGACTGGATGCCCACTCCAGATCAACCCACCAACAAATTGGAAAACCCAGGAAGCCACATTTGAAAGCTTTTTCACTGCCAAAGAGAAATATAACTTTCAGGAGGGGTCTGATAGATTTCTGACTTTGCTGTCCCAGAGTTAATAGTGCAGACATAGACATTACTTGAAAGACAACATGCTAAGAAAAATCTTGACGTGTTGGCAAAGTTTCTGTGGGTTAGTCTGCAGACAAGGTCCTTATATATGGATCTATGATAGTGACAAGGACTTCAGCAAGCGAGTGGGAGTGAAAGAGGAGGTAATGGGGCACAGGGAAGAAAAGGTTTCTCTGTGAAGTAACAGGTTTCATTCTGCCCAGGGCAGAGAGAAAGGAGTATTAAGAGGGAGGTAAATGGAGTTTGATGCCATGGCCATTGTAAAAAGTTTAATTTCCAGCAAAGGTGCTGTGTAGATTCTGCCTGGCATTGTTGAGAGCAAGAAAAGCAAATGACTGTTAGCTCTGAAAGGCCAACTAAAAGGCTTGTGCAGGATACTCAGACCCCTGTAAAATACGGTGCTGTACCCCAGTCAAGGTCCTGTTTCCTGAGACATTCCCTGAGACACAATTCCAGGAACACAATTTGCAATTTGTTTTAATTATTTTAGTTTTCACATCTCATTTAATTTTTATCTCATTCCCCAGCTCTCCAAACCAATGTGGTGTTAACCACTACTACTGTGCACCAATTTTTCTTTTAGAGAGAGAGAGAGAGAGAGAGAGAGAACACAGCAAGCAAGGCAAAGCCTAAGAAGAAAGGAAATATGCTCTCCCTAGTCACTGGCCCCATACGAATATTTCCATGAAGCATCTTAGCAATTCTATAACTGTGGTCTCTGAGAACTCCCTCTTGACATTTCCCGATAGCTCTCTATGTGGCTTCTCTCACTCTATGCAAAGATGGAAATTGAGCTAGTGGTAGGTGACAATATAAAATGCCAGAGCCCAGGAGAATTAAGGCTTTAAATACTGGCACCAAATTTGGTTCCTGAGTGACATATTTCTCATGCCAGTATCCCCCATGTTGTGGCATTTTGGCTTTGAAATCAATGGTGGATGTTTTGTCTGGGTTCATCTTTTTCAACCATCTTTTCCATCTTTAAAAATTTGAAATGAGTAAGGAGTCATAGAATCTGAAAATTAAAAGGAACTTTAGAGGCCATTATCTACCCTACTACTCAGGGCAGAAATATCTTCCTGATAGTCTGCATAACTCTGTAAAACAGCTTGTTCCACATTTAGGCATCCCCTAATGGTTAAAAAATGTATTCCTTAAGTTTAGTAAAAATGAACATTACACTATTTCTAATTCTTTGTTCACATGACAGAGCTCTAAACTATCTGTCATGTCACCCTCAGTCTTCTGTCCTCCAGGCTAAATATCTTCAGTTCTGGTTGTCTTTTGAGAGTAGATCTGCTCACTGCAACCTGTACCTTCTTTAAAACCCTCTTTTGTTTCTTGAATGAATTACTATTATTTGCCTTATTCTATGATTATTTAATTGACTTTGTTTTAACTCAGATGCTGGGTATTACTTGCATCCTCAATAACCATAGCCTTGTTGTGTTTTTTATTTTTTTTATTTCAACCCTTATATTTTTTCTAGATTGTGAGTCTCAAATCTAGAATATGATATTCTCTATTCCAGAGTTTCTTAACCTTTTTAAAAATAATCACATTTTTAATGATCCTTTTTAAACATTTTCCCCAATCTCTTCCTGTGAAACTTTAATAACATAGATATGCTGTACACATATTTATGTACTTTGTGTATATCTGTACTCTATATAAAAATATTTTTTTCACTCCTCAAGAACCAAATCTTGCTCTTTTAGGGGTGATATAACTCCCATTAAGAGTGTTTGGTTTATATTACTAAGTTTCTTTTATATGCATATTTGATGAACCAGACTAATAAACGTATTGGATGATTTAGTGTACAGAACAGAATATTGAAGCATAACTTTAGAGCCCTCCGCTTATTAACAATCACTTTTAGTAAGGTCATTCAAACTTGAGGCAATTTGTATTACTTCTGATACTACCTAGCTCCTATTTTTGCATTTTCCCCATGAGGTTACTGTAAGACTTTTTCAAATGTCTTGCTAAAATTCAGATACATTGCACTATAATATTCCTTTCATCTACCCTTTTAGATACTCATTCAAAAAAAAGGAAATGGACTTAGTTAAGCATGACTTGCTTTTAGTGAGTTTGTGCTTCCCCTTAGCGATTTCTGCTCCCTTTCTAAAGCCTCAAAAAATGATCTGCTTAATAGTGCGTGCTACACTTTTGCCGAAGACCAAGGCCATGTTCACTGGTCTAAAGTTTCCAGGATCTATATTTTGTACCCTGCAAAACCACCACCCCTTTTCAGTAAAAATTGGAGCAATGTTTGTCTGCCTCTTTGCATTTCTTACCTCTTCCCCTTGCCATAATTTCTCAAAGGTTACTAAGATTGGCTCTGTGATCAGATCTGTACATTCTTTCAGTAGCCTCGAATATAATTTGTCTGGGCCTGGAAACTTGAACTCATTGAAGGAAGCTAAGTGCTCCCTTATTATCTCCTCATATATCTTGGGCTTTAATTTTCTTTCCAGTTCAAAGATCATGCTCCTGGTGGAGAGGTTAAGTAACTTGCTCACAGTTACACACCTAGTAAATTGGTAGAGCTGGAATTTAAATCCCTCCCTGTCTGACTCTAAATTCTGGCTCTTAACCAGTGTGCTATGTAGCTTTCAAGTGTCAAATAGTGATATGGCCCATGGGTGCTATATGAATTCTAAAGAGGGAGAGAGAGCTCTTTTAGCAAGTGTAGTCAGTGCAGACTTACTAAGGAGATACACTTTGAATTGGATCTTTAATAATGAGTAGAATTCTAATATGAAGAAAGAAGTGATGTGTGCATGTATGATAGGATATAGAGGAGATTGAGGATAGCATAATAAGCAGGGGGAATAATAAAGAATCACCACCTTGAATCTGCCTCATTGGGTCTGCCTTGGTTGATCATTATCAATACTAAGATACCACAAATGGTCAAGATATTGCCAAGGTGTTCCTGCCTTACCTTAGCAAGTAACAGTCATTCAAACCATTGCTTACTACTTGTATACCCTTGGGCAAGGCACAATCCTCCTGAGCCTTGCTTTCCTGCTGTATAAAATAGAAGTATTAATAGGCCTACTTCAGAACGTTGTTGTGAGGATTCAATCAGTTAGTTACCCCATGTATTTAGAGCACTGCCTGGTGTACAAATGGGGCTCAACAAATATTTATTTATGTAATTATTATTATTACTGTGATTCATTTAATCCTTCAACAAGCATTTTTGAAAATAATTTTTTATTGATTTTTTAGAGAGAGAGGAAGGGAGAGAAAGAAAGAAATACGATGTGAGAGAGGAACATCGATCACCTGCCTCTTGCACAACCCCCACTGGGGATCGAGGCCCCAACCCAGGCATGTGCCCTGACAGGGATCTCTTAGTCCGTGGGATGATGCTGAATCTACTGAACCACATTTTCCAGGCATTCAAAAAGCATTTAGTGAGCTCCTAATGTGTGCCAGATCTTATATTAAGTCCTAGGAATAATTGTGAGCAATAAGACACATGATCTCAGCCCTCGATGAGTTAAAGATCAACCTTCTGTTTATTTTGTGGAACTTTTCAGTCTGTACTGATTTTTGTTTGTTTCATATTCTGGGCAGTGTTTCACTTTAGTTATGTCTTCAAAAGTTTGTAGGGAGCCTTTTGATCCAGTAGCCCAAGATTTGTGGAGCAAGTTGGTGGCTACTCTCTCTAAGATGCTACAGATTCTGATTAATTCCATCTCAGCCTTCACCCAAGTATTGGGTGCTGCTCTTTTGCATCCACTAGCCTTTTCCCTAGCCAAATCATTTCCCCCATTTGGGGAATTTTCCAACCCTAGCCTAAATTGTAAAATTAAGTCCCCCTATGAACAAAAACCAGTTGTACCCAGTGTGTGTGTGTGTGTGTGTGTGTGTTGGAGTTGCTGTACATCAGTGTAGTGTGGCTGTGGGGCAATGCCATCTGGTTTTGACCAGCTAACTGCAGTCCCTTCCTCTTTTGACTTTACAATCCCCCAAGGCCAGTAAGTGTATGAACAGAAGCCACAGAAGAGGACAAACTGTCAGATTCCAAAGCAAATAGCCTTGGGCTAGTGTGGGGTATAGTTCAACCAAGATTTTGGAAGGGGGTAAATTGAACATCTTCCCTGTTGGCCTGGTTAAAACAAAAATATGCTTCACTGGGCTGTCAGCAGAACTTCCTTTAATTAAGGGAAGAAAATCATTTGCCTTCTCAAATAAAGGGTTCTACTTTCTTGATATTAGTTAAAGGAAACCTCTGTTGCTAGTAACTGAAATAAATGGTTACAGTCATTCTTAATCTCTTACTATCAAATCTCTACTCCTCTGCTTAGTCACCAAGGCCCTTCCTCCACCAAGGCATGTCATTTAGCCATTTCCCATGATAGACTTCATCACTATTCCTTGCTGCTGGTTTAGCTGGTCTTTGTGTCTTATTTTTCATGACTGGACAACATTTTCATGAACATAACCACCTCTGGCTGGTGCTAGAATAGGAAATTTCAAACTGGGAAATATTGGCTGGAGATTATACTTTGGATACAGATGTCATCCAAGCCTTAAGCATACATTGTAGCTGACAGTCAGCCCCAGAGAACTGAGCACTGGGAAATAGGTGAAAGTAGGCAAGGCCATAAACAGAAGGTAAGGTGAACAGTCATGGATTTAGGTAACGCAAAACTCACAGGCCAGGAAGCGTAGTGA